ATTGTATTTCTTGTGTTTTAATATAATTAAATCAGTAATTTATCAGTGGCGTTATTTTTCATCTTTATATTAGTCCACTCACAAAGTCATTTTTAAAGACTTACCATAACCTGACAAGAAATTGGGCAAAAAGGCAATAAGGCGTCTTGTCAGTTGGTTCTTGCAACTAAAATCTATGCAAGTACCTGTGCATTCACTTTATACCACACATACCAACTGAACTTAGCGCGAAAGACCCTCCACATTTGTATGTGACTGATCAAAGGATTCTTAATGCATAACAAATTTATGGGATCCTTCGATGTTGGAAGCTTATTCCCCAAAATTTGTTTAGATGAAAGTATTGAACCAGTCAAACTAGGGATCTAGTATATTGCACTGTAGTAAGATTTCTTCGAGCTATTCAGTGCAAAAGGATGGACGCTTAAGGTAGCTAACTGTTTCGAATTACTTCAAGGCAGTCAGTCTTTCTGTCTGAAAAAGAATTTCGCTGTTCGCCTCCCGTCCTTTCTTGCGCTACATGAAGACGTTGATCACGATTTGGACAATTTTCACGACAAAAGCAACCGGACCGACCCGGTATCGGGACGAATTTTATCTTCTCATCATATGGGGAATTTCAGCTCAGTGACCGAGATGAAGACGGCTTGAGACCAACTGTGAGCGACATTAGATAAAGACAATGTAAAGAAAGACTCCACGCTGACAGGCCTTGTAAAAGAGGGCGATTAAAATTCAGTTTCAGTTAAATTATTCACTCGTTTCTTTTATCATAGCTCAGCACCTTAAAGAGCTTCACTTAGAGAAACTCTGAAGACTTTCTTTGTTTCTTTAAGAATTTTACAGCGTAAAGCATAGTTCAGCAAGTAACTCGAGGCCAAGCGCACGTTAAAGAAATTGGTTAATTTTGTGATTGAGATCGTTTCATAGTGTAGATTTTGGCAAAACAGCTGATATAACCATAAAATTTATTTTTTCCCTCTTAATGGAACTACGGTTTGCGCATCTCGAACAGTTAGTCTAAATTTTTCAAGTTCGTCGTTTGTAATCCGTGTTAATATTTTCCATCCTTAACAAATTTGTTTCTTTATGGTTTATTATTAAATAAATCTGTAGTGTTTTTCTATCTTAGTAAACTACTATTTCCAGTTTTAATCTAACAGTAATTTTGTGCGTGGCCAAAATAACTCAAAATGCCGTGACTGAGGTCCTTTAATTCTCCAGATAAGAACACGTGATTACGCACGTGGAACATGAGAAATTTGCAACATCGTGTCGTTTTTTCTTATGTAACACATTCACGTGTTTTTGAAAATTGAAGGCCAGAAAAGGTTTGAAAAGTAATTACCGGAAATGGTGATTATCGTACACAGAATCAACAAAAATTCAGTAATTCAAAAGGTGCACAGCTGGAAACTGCTCTAAAAATGTGTTTATTTGTATTGAATGCCGTTAAAAGCTTCGAAAACTTGCGAAGCGAAGTTGTTCCGTTGTAAAACAAAGAGACTAATTGTCGATTCTTTGGGTTTTTCTACCGAAACATCTGAAAGTGTAGCTTTTTCCCGGGGGTACTCCCAGAGAGATTGGGTACGGGTGTTTGGCCCGCTTCACAAAACCCTTACCCTATTTAAGAGAAAATCCGTGATTTTCCCTACCCCATTTATGACCTGACCAAAAATTTGAAAAACGCTATTGAAGACCTTATCCTTAAATCAATACCCTGTTTCAGACCTGCCCTATAATTAATTCCCTAGACAGACACACACTCTCTCTTAGTGACAATGATGAAAAAAGTAGCTTCTTTTGGCAAAATAAAAAGCGATTCAAGACTAGAGTGGAAAACCATACCTTATTTGGGACCAAAATGGCCAAACCTGATACCTATTTCTGAGCAATACGGCTAAAAACCCATACCTTTTAGGGCTGCATATACACATATAGCCCATATTAAAGAGTAGCCCTCACCCCCCCCCCCCCCCCCCCCCCCCCCCCCCCCCCCCCCCCC